TAGAAACTATAGTTACTTTTCCTAACTTCCTTGCACTTCATTTCCGCATTACCTATTTATGTTCCAACTGGAAATTATTTAGAAAATTATTCCATTTAAACTTTGGTTTGGATTAAAAAATAGTTGCAGAAAAAGTTACGTAATTTTTATTGAAACACGAGAAGGAATGAGAATTTTAAATGTTTTGTGTATGAAAATTATTTTCCAACCGATCGATAACCGTACGAAATTCCACCATTGATGTACGTAGTTTGTGGCGCGTGCCCAGTAATAATTGAAGTCCAATGGAAACTCGCTTTTGATTGGTTGATAAGAGATGCCTGAATAAAAAGAACATTCCAGAAGCGTCCTCTGGGAATGTAATATATACCGAGACGCAAGTGCGAGCTCTTCACTCACGTTGCGAATCGTCAAGCGGAGAATTTCTTCACTGTCCTACGAAGGCGAACTTTACAAGCGAACAAAGAAAAAAGGTGTGTAGTCAATCGTGTTCATATCTGCTCCTGCAATATTTGATAATAATTTGACTTCACAGTAATTTCGATATTCTTTCCTTCCTGTAAAGACACAAATTTCATTTGTATTTTTAGAGAAAAAGTAAAGATGGCCAAAGCACCTGCAGTTGGTATTGATCTCGGCACCACTTATTCCTGCGTCGGTGTATTCCAACACGGGAAAGTGGAAATCATCGCCAATGATCAAGGAAATCGTACAACACCTAGCTACGTCGCATTCACCGAAACTGAACGGTTAATCGGCGATGCTGCCAAAAATCAAGTTGCCATGAATCCCAACAACACCATTTTTGGTAAGTTTATTAAATATCTTATATTCAACATCTTATGTTTTCCATATTTTGAAAAATGGAACATTGTTAACAAAATATAAATTACCTTTTTTATGTAAATAAATGTGGACTGTTTAAAGAATTTATAGAGTGAAAATTTTGTAAAATTAACAGTAATGGAAATGTCCATGCTATGTTGATTAGATTTTTTAAACATAGTCAAGTTCTTTTTTTTAAATTAGAGTATTATATTATTCGAAATGTACTTTTACAACAATAGTACCCGAATTATCTTAAATTGTTTTTGAACAGTATTTGTTAATATTTAAATTTTTACGAACTGGTTTTCAAAATTTTTCCAAAATACATCATATACTTGAAATATTATTTTATTAAAGTAATAGAAATACTTCTAAAATGACAGTAAGTTGTTTTGGTTTAATGATAAAAATCCTAGCATTAGCTTGGAATTTTGTATAAATGGATATGGATAATTTTTTAATATGATGGGCGATGAGAAGCTTAATCCATATACACGTACGCACGCGCAGATGCAAAGATGTTACGGCGGACGCCATTACATTATTTTCTCAGATTATCATTTATAAAATAAATGATTCATTTATTGAACTGGAAATTCGAAATATATTGTAACATTTTCGGCATTTATTGCATTAATACGATAGTACAGTGAAGGATATGAAGGACATAACTGTACCAATGACAATAAAAAATTGTCGATAGTTTAAACTGACTTGGTAAACAAACATCATATAACGATCCACTTGATTCATTTTGAAGCGCGAGACATCTATTTTGATAATCGTGAGTTTTTTTCAAAGATGATTTCACGTTTCGCGAAAAGGGGTGGGGAAGTGAGGATAATTTTTTCTCAAAAATTACCAAAATTCAAATGCGTATAGAAATATTAAAAAATTTTGCTCATGATTAAATCCACTATAGTCTTGAGAATTGAAATTTTTTCTTTACAACAATCTGTTAAAACTTGATGTACGATCATTTCCCGCAATTACTGAACTTTGAATATCAGAGTAAAAAATTTAATGTTCAAAGTTCAACAAAATCGTAGTGAGTTTTAAGGGGTCTTTGTAAAGGGAACACTTTGGTCTTTAAAATGATCGTGGATCTGAGACGAGAAAAATCTTTTACACACGTTTTACAACTTTCAAAAAAAAAAAGTAATCACTTTTTCACTTGCTATACGATGCAAAATTATCTTTGGAAAAAACGAACTCACGATTGAAGGTTTCTCACTCAAAATAAAGGTTTCACATTTTGAAACCAGATGAATTTTTTTTTCTTTTACGAATTAGTTTAAATTATCAACAATTTTCAATATTGTTGATACAGTTATGCTAATCGCCGTAACTCACTTAAATCAATAATTCACTTAGATAAAAATTTTTCCACCTATAAAGTAATTTTTAATTAGTAATTTATAAAATGTTTAAAATGTTATGAAATATCTTTGATAGAGTAAAAAATGATTTATTATTAAATTTTATATTCAAAATTGTGGATGATATGTTTAAATCTTAAATTGAGATATTAAATTTGTTATTTATATATTTTTAGATGCCAAGCGGCTAATTGGACGTCGTTTTGAGGATCCTACTGTTCAGGCTGATATGAAACATTGGCCCTTCACTGTTGTAAACGATGGTGGCAAGCCTAAAATTCAAGTATACTACAAAGGAGAGGCGAAGACTTTCTTCCCTGAAGAAGTGAGTTCAATGGTCTTGGTAAAGATGAAGGAAACTGCTGAGGCATATCTCGGCAAGACTGTCAGCAATGCCGTGATCACTGTGCCTGCTTACTTCAACGACTCGCAGCGTCAGGCAACCAAGGACGCTGGCACTATCTCGGGTTTGAATGTTTTACGTATCATCAATGAGCCCACTGCTGCCGCGATTGCGTATGGCTTGGATAAGAAAACTACAAGTGAACGCAATGTCCTAATCTTTGACCTTGGTGGTGGCACCTTCGATGTCTCAATTTTAACCATCGAAGATGGCATTTTCGAGGTTAAATCAACAGCAGGAGATACTCATCTTGGCGGCGAAGATTTCGACAATCGTATGGTCAATCATTTTGTTCAGGAATTCAAGCGGAAGTATAAGAAAGATCTGACTGCAAATAAACGTGCTCTCCGCCGTTTGAGAACAGCTTGCGAGCGTGCGAAACGTACTCTGTCTTCGTCTACTCAAGCTAGTATCGAAATTGATTCGCTCTATGAGGGAATTGATTTCTACACCTCAATCACCAGAGCTCGATTCGAAGAACTTTGCGCTGATCTCTTCAGAGGAACACTGGAGCCAGTGGAAAAGTCGTTACGTGACGCTAAAATGGATAAAGCTCAGATCCACGATATCGTTCTGGTTGGTGGATCTACACGTATTCCCAAGATCCAAAAATTATTGCAAGATTTCTTCAACGGGAAAGAATTGAATAAATCTATCAACCCTGACGAAGCTGTAGCTTATGGGGCTGCTGTACAAGCAGCTATTCTACATGGCGACAAGTCTGAAGAAGTACAAGATTTACTGCTTCTTGATGTAACACCTTTGTCTCTTGGAATTGAAACCGCTGGTGGTGTTATGACTGCCCTCATCAAAAGGAACACTACTATTCCAACCAAACAAACTCAAACCTTCACTACATATGCTGATAATCAACCAGGAGTACTGATTCAAGTCTATGAAGGAGAACGTGCGATGACAAAGGATAACAACTTGTTGGGTAAATTTGAGCTCAGTGGTATTCCACCAGCTCCTCGTGGAGTTCCTCAGATTGAAGTCACCTTTGATATTGATGCCAATGGTATCCTAAACGTCTCGGCAGTGGATAAATCTACCGGGAAAGAGAACAAAATTACCATTACCAACGATAAGGGTCGTCTTAGTAAAGAAGACATTGAGAGAATGGTCAATGAAGCTGAGAAATATCGTAGTGAGGATGAAAAGCAAAAAGAAACTATCGCTGCTAAGAATGGTCTTGAGTCTTACTGCTTTAACATGAAGAGCACAGTGGAAGATGAAAAACTAAAAGATAAGATCAGCGCCAGTGACAAGCAAGTTGTATTAGATAAATGCAATGATATCATTAAATGGCTCGATGCTAATCAGCTGGCTGATAAAGAAGAATATGAACATAAACAAAAAGAATTGGAGGCTATATGTAATCCTATTGTCACGAAACTCTATCAGGGTACTGGAGGAATGCCTGGTGGAATGCCTGGTGGAATGCCTGGTGGTTTCCCAGGAGCTGGAGCTGGTGCCCCTGGCGGTGGTGCATCTGGTGGCCCTACCATCGAAGAAGTCGATTAAGTCGATTAAATTTAACTATCAAGACTAACCTTATTTAAATAAAGGTAATAAATAAATTATGAACAATTTGTGCAAGTTTCAGGGATTGTTTTATATTTTCATAGTTTTTTGAACATAAACGATTAACAACTTACTCGTTTGTTACTGTCAGGACGATGTTCACACAGTCTATGTTCAAAAATGAAAATATAAAACAATCCCTGAAACTTGCACAAATTGCTTATAATTTATTTATTGCCTTTACTTAAAAAGATTAGTTTTGATAGTTAAATTTGAAATATTTTGTATATTTTTTCCAACATAAAAGGATACAATATAGTACATGTGTAGATAAATTTGTTTTTTTAAATTCAAATTTATTTGAAAAATAAAAAATTCAGAATACCTTTCAAATTAAATTTTATTTGCAAGCACAACAGACCTGAATGCTACAGAAAACAAATATTTGACAATCGATAATATCTATAAGGACGAAAATTATACAATATATCATTACATGTTACGATTTATACTAGGATTTCATAAATTTTCTAACATATACCCAATATAATCTGAAATATAACATGTAATAGTAAAATCAAATTGCAAAATTGAAATGATAAAAGTGCAAGCATTGTGAACAAAATTAAGATTCATGTGCCATAATGGTTTTAAGAAATACGATTGATTTTCCTTTCTTCTCTTTTCCAGCTCCATTTTTCTTTGTTTCTAAAAGAAATCGATTGATTTTCCTTTCTTCTTTTTTTTCCCACTTTTCTTTGTTTCTAAAAGATGAACAATCAAGTTTATATCATATCACTTCTTAATTCCTTATAAATTAAAGACAATTTACATTTCATATTATTAATTAATGTCAAAAATGAATAACCAAACGTAGTAAATTTACCTAACTTATTTTGCTGTAAAGCAACTGCTAAAGCATCACCAAGATTCTGACCATATGATGGTACTGAGACATAATTTTCTTCTTCTTCCTCTTCTTCCTCTTCGATGTTTCTCGAGGGTAACTGAATAGTTACAGTAGAACGCTGTTTCTTATGTCTGGAATTAATTGATGGCCAGACTGTTTGCGACTTTAATCGTGTGCCAGTGTTTTGGACCATTTCCGCGAACGATGGTCCCGCTTCTTGAATGACATTATCAGTTTGTCTAGATGCAACTATTTCGTCAAATGTGCTTGAAGGTGGACTACTAGCTGCACTTGAAGTTGCTATAGATTCTAGTGGTGATGGAATATTTTCCCTGGAAATATATTGCATAGTATATGGTGAAATGTGTGATGAGATAGTATATTCTGTAAATATACATACTCGGAAAACTCTGGAAAATCTTGCTGCGAATCAATGTGTACGACGGGAGTTGGATATTTTCCCATTCGTTTATTTTCTTTCTCAGTAATTTCTCTTTCCCTTCGCCTTTCTTCCTGTTCTCGTTGTCGCCTACGTTTGTGCCTCAGCATTAACTGATCTATAAAATGAATTACGATATAGATTGACATATTAATAGACACTGAAAAGAAATACAAAGCGAAAAAATTACCTCGAAATGAAAATAAAATTTCCTTCGACACAATTGGTGGTTTCAATTCAATTTCTGCTATCTCGAATTGGCAAGTTAATGGCAGGTGACCCAAGTACCTAAATCTACGTCTTAGATCTTCTGTAAGACTTCCTTCCTCTTTCTCGAGAAGTTTTCCTTTTATTACATGAGGACAATTTTCAAGATTACCATACTGCATTTCCAACATTTTTACGTTCATTGCATGAAGATACAAATGCTGTCCATCTTCCGCTGAAAGTCATACACACGTCATTAAATTCAATTTTTCATAAATAAATATTATAGATAGAAAAAAAGGATAAAAAAATATTGATTAAGAACCTTGATAAAAATAAAAGAATTTTGATGTGCCTGAAGTTGACTGAGCGCTGCTAGATGAATTTTTAGATTTTAATATTTCCTCATCCACATTTTTTACATCTTTTTTCGTTGAAGTATTTGTTTCTTGTTGGTTTTGAGATCCCGATTGAGATTTCTTAATGTAATTCTTTTTTATTTGTAATTTATAGTCCAATGTTGAACTTTCGTACTGAGGAACGACCTCTGATTTCACCTATAAAAAGAATTAGTTTTCATGAAAAAAGAATTTTACTTTATTTCATTTTATCTCATGAATTAGAATTTATATAAAATAGGCTTTAATTTAGGAATTAAGAAAACTTACTTCAGTTAACTTTGCCTTTTGCAATAATTCTGTTTCCCTCTTTGAAAGTTCGTCAAGCGCTTGTTCAATATACTCTTTCGAAGAATTAGGTGTTTTTGATAATTCAAGGTTTAACTGTGTACGTTCATGTTCGATGATATTCATTACCTGAATTGTAATTCATGACAAGAATTATAATTAACACTGACAATTTAAAATTTTTGTTCTTTTCGTTGTTTTAAGAACTTACATCTTCTATACTTGCGATAAGAAGCTTTGAATACACTTCTTTGCTAAGAGTTTCTGAAACTGAGAAAAAGTTTGTTGGATTTTGAACTAAAGATCCAACGGGTACTGCAAGTAGTGATTCTTTCTCGCGACGCATCAAACGTAAAGTAATAATATCCCCTAAATTTAATGTACTTTGAGTGATTTCATTAACACTAAAACAGAAAACCAAGAAAATCGTTTTGTTTTTTTTGCAGGAAACTTAATTTAAAAATTGAATATTATCTATACATCTGAAAAAAATTGAATATTATTTATACATTAATAAATAAATTACCTTTTTAAATCGGATTTTTGAATAAATTCATAACAAATAGGGCATGTACGCCAAGATTTATCAGAAAGTGATAAATAATGTAGGATACAATGCCAACAATAAACATGACCGCAACGTGTCATTTTTGCAGCAGTTGGCGGATATAAACATATCGGGCATGATAAACTTTCAAAACTGAAAAGTTTCTGAAGAATAGAATTTCCCGGTTATCATTATTATCCAAAACAAACAGAGACCAACAAATTTTTTAATATCTTCGCAACTTACAATTTGTTCTATGAGGTTCCAATCAACTAGTACATCAGGATCATTTAGACATGCTGTGTAATTGCCATTGGCACTTACAATAAACTGGCAGCTAAAGAACAATAAAACAATAAAGCTTATATTAATCTGTTATTAATATAAATTTTATATTATTGTTGGTATTAACATAAGGTATTTATAACCTAGCTTGCAAGAACTGTTCTTTGTTATATTTATGTCGCTGGACTGGTGGAAGCCATCTATTGCTGTTTCTAAAGAAACCCTTCATTGATTTTCCATAACCCCATGCACTTGCACCACTTTGCATTTCACGTGGTTCATAACGAAAATTTAGCAGATGATTCAAATTCTGCTTTTTACTTCCGTGGACCATTACCGAGCCGGGCTCAGCTAATTCTGCTTGCACTACCTAAAAATTTAAATAACCAATTTAAATCTAATTTCATATATAGATAAATAATATATCAATATAATTGAATAATATGGAAATGACCTTGGTATTCTCCTTTGAACTGCCATAATATTGTCCTTTAGGTTTTGGTCTCTTATCAAAATTTTTTGTTTTCTGTACATTATGTTTCCTTGATTGTTCAGATTTTGAAAAACCGCTAGTGCCTGCTGACTCGCGCTTACGCGAACTCTTTGGGAAAATTTTGTTTGTGACATCTGTAATAATTTCTAATTTTTTTAAATTTCTTAGTAATCTCTATGAATATATGTATGTTTAAAACAAAAACTATGAACATTATATTTAATATTTGTACGTATATGTAATATATTTAAATATTGTACTAAAACGACATTTCATGTCCATTAATTAATAAAGATTCTTGAAAAATTCAATAGATATTGTATAATTAAAATATTGCGTCAAAATAATTTGTATCGTAAGTAATAAAACGAATACTGAACATTAAGGACTTTGAAGAGACAGAACAAAAACTACAGAACAAAAAAGTTTTTTTTTTTTTT